ATATTCTATAGTGGTCTTTTTCTTATCTACTGTGACACGGAATGCATCTGTGGACTGGTGCTAAGTTATAGTTTGTGTGTGAAGAGGATGAACTATTTGGTTCTATGTCAATTCATTTCTAGTCAGTTTTCCAGCTGTCGATTTGCTTACTAACTGCTTTTCCCCTAATTTAACTCCCATTGAGTACAGATGTCCTATTTTTCAATCTTTTTTGATGTATTTTGGATTTTAGAAAGCCAGTTTGTTCAAGGGCATTTTCAACTTTGCAGTGTAACACATCCAGTGACTGTTGAATGTGGTGGATATTTATCAGGCTTTGGGATTTTCCAGTCTCTTTGAATATCTTTCTTATGATTTGGGACTTTTCTACCTTATGAATCCTCACTCTCAGGGCTCAATTTCCCAGCTTTCCTCGCAGCTAGGACATGGGCATGTGACCCAAGTTCTGACAACCAGCTACAAAATGTCAGTTTGGAAGTAGACAGCATAAAGATGGAGGTGCTCCACACTTACAAAAATAGGATGAAGTAAAAAAAAAAAAAAGATAAAAAACAAAACAAACAAACAAACAAACAAAAAAAGATGGAGGTGCTATACAGAATTCTGTCTATTAAGAGTGCTGAGAGACAGACATCCAGCTGTCAAAGATGGCTGTGGCCTGTCCTGGCTACAGCATCCCATGCCCAGCTTCAGAAGTATAGTCAGAGACGCCAGCCCAGTGGCCATAGCAATAGCATTTCCACTGGCAGAGCTTGATGGTAGAATGTGGGCATGATTTCTGGTCAGCTGATCTCTGGCCCTCCTGAAGATCCTGCAAGTGACTTAATATTCTTCAATGAACTTTTTTATTCTGTGTAAACTAGCTTGAATGGCTTCTGTTTGCAACTTGGACAGATAAAATGAGGTTGTTGTGTAAACTCATGGCTTCCGTTTTCTATTTTAGCTGCTGTTCGAATGCCTTAATGCCTTTCTTTCCCAATCCCTCAAATTCATACATTAGAATTGAACTATGAGACAAAAGGGATTATCCAGGATAACAATTTTAAAGATAACAGGATGTAAGGAATTGTTAGTATTAACGCTCAGGGCAGGCTCACCCTCAGTCTTAAATTTTTCTACATAATCCCATCACTTATGATAATGCTGCAAACTTGGTAAATGCTAATTAGAAAAAGGAATATTTGGCAGCTGGAGGTCATTTGGCAAAGTCGTCTCTTCCCAGGACAGCTTCCTGAAGCCCAGGGGCCAGGCTCAGATCAGTCCCAGGTGAGACCAGCGCCAGCCTGGCGCAAAATCAGAAAGCCGGTATTCACATTCGTCAGACCACCCTTGGCTGACTCTGGCCTGTGGCTCTGTCTCTTCCTCCTCCAAAACTCCATCATGTATAGAGATGCAGACAAGCTGGCTCTTATACTTTTCTATACTGTAATATTTGTTTTGCGTGTTAGCTTTATATCTCTGACTAAACAGTTCATCCCCCAGGGGCAAGAACCACATCTTGCATTTCTTGTGATATACACTTCACGTATGTATTCTACTCTGAGCAGAATGTCCTGAACATTATAAGGGTTTAATAAATATTTGCTGATTGATTTCCTTCCTGAAGTGGTGAAGTATAAAGTACATGCCCATCTCTTCATTTTTTAACATGTGTGTGTGTATGTGTGTGAGAGAGAGAGGGAGAGCGATATCTGAGAATTAATAAATAATAAGCTCCAGGCATGGAGTTTGGAGCCATAAAAATCAAAGAAACAAGCCACAGCCTGTGTGGGTAACTCCCCTTGGTTTGTCATATATAAACTAGGGTCTGTAATAATACCTACTCCAACTACTTCCCTGGATTATTAGGAACTTCCTAAGAGATGATATGTACTTAAGGCACCTTGTGATTATCCTCTGGTCTGTATGAAATAGGACCAGAGAGGTGAGTGGAGAAGAGGTACTAAAAGTATGGCGTTGAGAAGAAATCACAGCTGACCTGACCCTACTGGCTTTGGTCCCACCTGCCTGGGGATGATGGGCTTTGTAGCACTGGGCTATTGAATTTCCAAGTGTTTCTAGGCAGCAGGCATCCCTCGCTCCTAGCCAAAGTCATCAATTCTATCTCAGACTTTACAACATCTAAACCCATATAACCCTGCTCCAGCCTCATCTTGGCTTGGGTCCTAGTCTTATCTCACAGCTTCTGCCTCTTCCTGCCTCTGGTCTCTGACCTCCTGTCCCCCATCCACACGGAGGGCAACTATTGCCCTACAAAAGCAAATCTGATTATACCACTTTCTGCTTTAAGAATCTCTGTTGGATATCTAATACCGATGGTGTCTCTATATCCAACGAGGGAAGCCCCGTTATGAGGCTGTGGCAACCAGGTGAAAGATACTGAGTTTGTGAACTAGGGTAGACAGAGAGGTGAGAAAAGATTTGGGAAATAATATATACTCTTTCTCCATATGCATGTGTATTGCTATACAAAATGTGAACAATAGTTATCTCTAAAATTTCTTCTATTAATTAATGTAATAAATATTGCATGCCTGCCACATGACAAGCACCACTTTAGACACTGAAAATTCGAAAGAACAATATGTAGCTCACATTCTACCGAAGCAAGAAGGAACATATAGAGCGTAAATCAGAAATCTATCAGTGCCAACTGATAGTGATTTGGGGAATACTTGAGATAAACTGGTGAGGGGAAAGCCCTCTGAGGAGGTGACATCTGAGCTGAACCTCAATGAGAAAGAGTCAGCTGGAGCCAGGTCTGGAGAAGAATATTCCAGATAGAAGCCAAAGGATGAGCAAAGGCCCTAGGTTGGGAAAGAGTCTGGCGTTTTTGAGGAAAGCATGCCAGTGGGAATGCTGAGCAGTACGAGGGAAAGTCTTATGGGACAGGGAGGAGAGGGAGGTAAAAGACTTAGAGGTGATACCCAGGAGTCTGAATTTTCTTCTAAGACTGAAGGCCATTAAATGCCTTTGAGCTAGGGAAAGACATAGTCTGGTTTACATTTTAAACAGGTCAGTTGGCTTCTGAGTAAAGAGATTATAGGAGTCCAGGGGAAGGGAGGCAGGCATGGAAACGGGGGCCCAAGGTAGGACACTGTGGCATGGGCTCTGGCTGAGCTGTTGGTGGCATGGATAGGAGGTGTCCAAGGACAGGAGAGGAGTGGGCAGGTACAGGGTCTATGTTATAGGCTGAGGAGACCGCTTGCTGAAGGAGGACTGGATGTGATGGAGAGGGGCAGGAAGGAATCAAGGACAACTTAGGGTGGATGGTAATGCCATTTGCTGAGACAAACTGGGAAGGAAAAGATTTGGAAAGAAAAGTTGAGTTCAGCTTTTGACATGTTAAGTGTGCGATGCTAATCACTCCAGTGGAAGTGACAAACGGCAGTTGGAGAAACAGGTCTGTAGCTCTGGGAGGGGTCCTCACTGTACATTTACGTTGGTGAGTCATCAGTGCATAAATGATATAACAGTCACAGGGATGGGAGGGCTCATTCAGGGACAGAATCCAACCAGTTCAGCCCGCGAATACCCTGGCACTTATGAATAGAGAAAACAGGGTCTGAGGAGCCTGGGGAATGAGGGTAGCCAGAGACCAGCAGAGCACACTGTCCCTGCTCTGACTGAGGAAGATGTGCCCAGGTGGAGGATGTGATTGTCTCTAACATCCCTGAGAGGCAGAATAAGATGAGGGCAGGGAAGAGAACATAAGATTTGTCAACATGTAGGTCCTTATGGTGACTACAGCAAAAGCATTTGGACCTAGTCCAAAGAGGAGGGGTGAGGATGTGTATCTGGCAAGAGTACATAGCTTTCAAGAAGTTTTGCTGAGAGCCTGTTTTTTTTTTCCTGTTTATCCGTACCTTATTATTTTTCAACAAGGAGTGTTTATTACTTGTATAAGAAGTCTACACACATTGTGGATAGTACCCTGCTGTTTGTGAGAAAGAAAAACTCCTCAGTAGAATGAGGCAGACCACACCTCCACTGTGACCTGCCCAACTCCAGGCTTGTCATTCTCCACTGGCACCAATCTTGTGTCTACCACAGTCAGTATTTCAATTTTGCTATCTATCTATCCATCCATCTATCTATCTATGGAGCCTGGTGCCAGGCATTAGCTGTGGCTGGGGCTCCCACTCCTCTCAGCATCTGTAAGCCTCACCCCAGCCCATCCCACACACGTCCAGGATCAGCCAGTTGCACACTCGCCATCCACCCATTTTCACCCAGGAGTCAGTCCCAGAGCTGCAGACAATGCCCCTCTGCTGCCTTCTACTTTCCTGGGTCTTAGAGCGGCAGGATAGCAAAATGTGAAAGAGAATAGAGCTCTAAAGTCAGACGGACATGATTCCTTTCCCCATTTGCCACTTTTAGCTGTGTGAATTTGGGCACGTCTTTTAACGACCCAGTGCCTCAGTTTCCTCACCATGAAACGGGGCTAGTCAAACCCACATCCTACCAGTGGTGTGAAAGTTGAACGGGCCACTTTCGTATTCCCTGGAACAGAGTAAGCAGCAGCTGAGGCGGCTCACTGTGCGTGAGCGTTGCGCGCACGGGCTGTGCCACGGTAGGTAAGAGCTAGGATGCTTCAGACTTGTGACGGGGCAATGGGAGCCCCTCACATGATTCCAAGGTGCCACATGGTGTCTCTCCTCACAGGGCGTGTGCTGGTCCAGTGACCCGTTTTTCCAGTCGCCTCACACCCCGGGTCCGCGATCACGCACCCCCCACCCATGGCAGAACCTGATGCGGCGGTGGCTCATGCGCCTTTCCGCCCCAGCCTCCTGCCACGGACCACACGTCCCATCCCTGGCGCCCGGCCCCGCCCCCGCCCCGGCGCGCCTCCCCAGCGGGCCGGCTCGGGTGTCTGAGCGACCGCGCCTGCGGGCCGTGCGCGCTGATTGGCTGCACGGCGGCGGCGGGCGGCCCGCGGGTGCACACACCCTCCCTGCGCAGCCAATGGGCGTGCGCACGTCACTGACCCGGCGGCCCGCGAGCCGGCAGCCCCTCAATAAGCCACATTGTTGCACCAAACTCCAGCGCAGGAGTCCCGGGCCGCCGCTAGCAACGCTGTGTCACCCAGCTAAGAAGATCTGCCGGCGGAGCATCGCCGTGGGCGCTCCAGAGGTCCGATCGCCCTAGCGGAGCCAGGCTGCGATTCCTCTCAAGTTGAGCCCTGGTGATCCCGTGGCTGAAGTTAGCGTCCTGACGTGGGACAGCCGGACACGTCGCCGGGAGTGATACTCAGGCGCCGTCTAGCAGTTGTGACTCCAAAAACCTGACTCGAGATCCGAGACCCTCTCCAGCCGGGCGCGCCGTCGCCGTTCGCCTTCTTTGTGTGCCGCCCGGACTCTCCGCTCCCGGCCCGGCCGCCAAGCGCCCCAAGCGCCGATACAGAGCGGTCGCACGGTGCCGTCGGCTTCCCCCGCACGCACTCTAGCCTCGGTTTCCCAACTCGGCGCCGTCGGGCCGCGACAAGATGATCGCCTCGCATCTGCTCGCCTACTTCTTCACGGAGCTCAACCATGACCAAGTGCAGAAGGTAAGTCAGCGCGGGCGGGGGCAGGTGGCTTGCTTCCGATAAAAGTTGCCGGGTCTCCGGGACTCTCTCTGCCCCGTCCGGGCCGAGGACGCGGAAAAAGTCTGGGCAGCCGGGAAGCTCGTGGGCGCGAAGAGCCACGTCTGCTAGGCACCGGCCGGCGAGTGCGCGCGTGCGAGGCGCCGCGGCTCGTGCGCCGCCCGCTCTCCCCCTGCCTGCCGACCTGCGCGCGCTCGCGCTCTCTCCCCCTCCCCCTTTTTCTCTGGTTTCTAGAGGGGCGGGTCACCCGGCACGTAGTCCGAGATTGCTGGGTCCACGTGGGAGCAGCCCCCCTTGTGCAGCCGGAGTTCCGGTGAGAGCACGTGGGGCGAATCGTGGCCGGGGGTGGAGGCTCCGCTGCCGCGTGGGGCTGCCGGGCACCTCCCTCGCGCTTAAGGACTGCGTTTAGGGGACAAGCGGTTCCCCTTCTCGTTCCTGGCGGCCTTGCGGGGGTGGCCTTGGGGAGAAGCCGACAGGGGAAGGGGAAGGAAAGAGGGCAGAGGAACTCCGCCCGCTGCGCCCCCTTCCCGGAACTGCGGCGCCCGGGCGGAACTGAGGGGCGTTCATCCATCCCCCTCACCCCAGATCTGCGCCGGGACCGCCCCGCCTCGCGTCTCCAGGGCCAGCCTCCGAGTCGGGGAGGACTTTGTTACTTTCTAGCCTGCTCCTAAGAGGATCTCCTAAGAGATCCTCAGAGGTGATCATTCCCAGATGACTTAAGAATTTTGTCGTTCCGAAAGTGAGCTTCTTCCCTGCCCTAGGCCCCGACTTCTCCGTGCCCACCTAGCTCTCTGCAGCTCTGGGCACCCGAGCTCTGGCTGCCGCCGAGTCATTTACATAAGAAAGCGCCTAGGGCCCTGCAGGGATTCTCACTCTCCCTGCCTGGGGCAATGGGGGTGGGGCTGGGGCTGGGGCTGGGCCGGGGCCGGGGCCTGGGCCTGGGCCTGGGCCGGGCCTGGGGCGCTTTCAGAATTCAGTTTCTGAAAGGCCCAGGATTAAGAGATTGGCTCCCGGCCTGAGCCTTGGCTAGGATTTGAGGGAGAGGGATGAGCTGGGGAGGGGCGGTGGGGTTGTTTTAGAGCTGTGAGGCAATGACTGAGCGTTGCTCAATTACATGCTTGAAATTTCAGTGTCTGGTGGAAACACATTTTTTGGAAAATGTCTTGACATTATCGTTCTGTGGGGCAACCTGCCCGTATTCCCATTCTGGCGGTCCTGAGGGCAAAGGAGAGGATAGGATGACGGGTTACCATCTTGATGTGGTGATGGCAGATGAGCCTCCAAATAAAACATGACCCAGCCTCAAGAGTGGAGGAGGGGGCAGAGGGCGGCTGGTTGACTTTAGTTTTGCCCTGTTTGTAAACCGCTGTTACTCTCTCACTCATTCCTGGGATGTGGCTGTACACTTTAATTGAGTTTATTTAAAAACATGTCTTTGAGCTGGCAGGGTGTTGGCAACTTCTCAACTTCCAAGATTAACTCTTGGGGAAGGCTATCATATTTTGGCAAGTTCCAAAATACGAGGTGGAGGATCCATCGGATAATCTCAGCAAGGTCTTCTAGTTGGATATCACCCCCAGGACATTTGAATTCTTGTATAAATTTACTGTTCCCAACCCAGAAGAAGACACTAGGACTGGAAACTCCATGGAGGTTTATCACTCTCAGTATTGGAATGGGAGTCATCTCTTTGGTCCCAGAGTGGAAAGAGCATTAGCCAAGGTATCTGGAAATGGGTTCTAATCCCTATCTTGTGGCTCATTAACTCCAGGCCCCTTAGTCTTTTTGTACAACCCCGTTTCTTTTTGTAAAATGCGGATGATATCAGCAGTCTTGTCCACTTATGGGCTTGTGATGATTAAGCATAACAATGTGAAATCATCACTCCTGTCAGCTTCTTTTCTCTACCCTTGCAGCCACCTTTCAGCCTGTGACAGGTCCCTGGGACACGTGGGTGTATTTCCTCTAAGTTACCAATAGGGGCAGAATTGAATCAGACCTCACTAGGTGTCAGAACCTGTAACTTACTTAGGCTCCGACTTAGGTGAGCAAAGCTGCTGGCTTCCAGCTGCAATTAGATAGGAAAAAGGAAGAAAATCAGAGAACATCTTGGAAGCATATTTTTGAGTTGCTGCTGGAGGGAAGATTTAGGAGAGAATGATGAAGACTGAGTTTAATTTTACAGTCTCTTGAAAAGGCCTTTTGATTTGGACTCTTCTGAAATGAGTTGTGAAAACATCGTCTTATATATTCTGGGTTATAGTCTGAGGACATGGAAGGCTTAGGTTTAGCTGCCCAATGGGACCACTTCTGATGGAGAAGCACAGTGTTTCGTGGCATGAGAGATGAGAATACGGGGTTATTTGCTTACCTTTTGCCAACTGACACTTTGGAATTCAAGAGCAAACACAGCATCTACTGTGTGCCTGGCAGTCTACTGTGTACCTGGCACTGTTCTTAGCTCTTTACATGTATTAGCTTATTTGCATTCACAACAACCCCTTGAGTATGATTGTTATCAGCATCTCTGTTTTACTGGTGAAGAACTGAGGCCTAGAGTAACTTGCCCAGGGTCACTAGCTTTTTTGTAGGAGCTGGGGGGTTGAAGCCTTGCATTTGGCTCCAGAGAGCACTATGCTCTTGACTGCATACTTGTCTGCTTTTGGGGGAACATTAGTGGGCTCTTAGGCTCTGCCCGTGTCCACTCATGGATGCTGGCAGCACCCCACCCATTATGCCCACAGACGGAACTAGCTGTCCTGCTGATTTGATTGATGGCACTAGTTAGTTAGTACCCTCTGGCTATTCCAGCTGAGAGCCCTGGATTCATTTTCACCAACTTTCCCTTCTGACTTTGTTGACTGGTTTCTGGGCTACTTCAGAGACCTCTTAAAGATTTCCTTGTTTCTAGTCTCTTTCTCAAGCCAGACTGGCTCATTTCAGAAGGCTTCTACAACTCTGCATTGGCTATTGCATGCCCCCTGACGCTCCCACCATCTTAGCTTCACCTTCCTCTCCATCTTTTCATTCCCCAGAGATGTCAATTGCCCTTCCTCTGTCATGCCTGCTCACACTAGGTCCTTTATCCCTTGCCCTTTCTGAAGACCTGAACACTCTGCCTGGCTTTTTCCAACTTAACCCTTTCTAGCTCAAATGCTGTCTCCTTTCTCAACCTTCTTTCTACCTCCTTCTCCCCTTCCTGTGTGTCCACATTAGTGCGCCTGAACCATGCATGGCATTTGTTTCATTCCATCATACATTAGAGTTGATGGTTTTCAGTTTGGGTTCCTTCCTTAGGACAAGGAGGATCCTGGCTTTTTGCTTTTGTCATCACAGTTCCTGGCTACTGGCGAGGTGCTCAGTGAGTGCAAGAATGATGGAGTAAGAGCTGCAGGAAATGGAGGAGGCTGGGCAGCAACCGGGGGGATGCTAGTGCTGGGCTAAAGGGAGGGTTAGGTGGGTGGACCTTAGAGGGAAAGGCGGTTCTCAGGGCTCTTCCTATATCTGAAGCATGAGCTGAGGCTGATCCTGAGGGGGAAGAGTTTCTTGTCCTCCAGCAATCGAGGCTCAAGTCCTGCCTGAAGAGATAGAAGATTTTTTTTTTCATTAATTGAGGTAAGTTAATATGCAGGATACAGGGTTTTTGTATCTTAAGAATGAGGATCAGGGTTAATCACAGAAGTGAAATGAGGTGTATACCCCTTCCTTTAGCCATTGACCAAATTGTTTGAACACAAGTAGGCTGGTGACATTTTTACTGGAATCCTGTAACATAGATAGCTCACTTAGGTGTTCAACCCTGGACTTGTGGGGAATATCTTGGAAGCCCAGATTCAGCAGAACTCCCAAGAATCAAGGTAGCCAATAATTTTAATGTTTTTTTGAGAGCCTACTATGGGGGCAGGGCCCTCTGGGTGCTATGCAGGAAACAGAAACTAATAAAGCTTTTTTTTGTCTGGAGAGATAAGACTCCAGGAAAAGATAATTTATGGCCACTAAGTAAAAAGAGGGTGTATTACCATGGGTGGGTGGAGAGTTAGCAACCTCAAAGAACATTTTGGACACCTATTGTGTGCCATTAATCTCTAGATATGAGATTAAAGTGTTAAGAGTAAACTACAGATTAAAACTTTTATAAGGGCCAGGGGCTGTGGCTCTCGCCTGTAATCCTAGCACTCTGGGAGGCCAAGGGGGGTGGATCATTTGAGCTCAGGAGTTTGAAACCAGCCTGAGCAAGAGCGAGATCCCTGTCTCTACTAAAAATAGAAAGAAATTAGCTGGACATCTAAAAATATATAGAAAAAATTAGCTGGGCATGGTGGCGCATGCCTGTAGTTCCAGCTACTTGGGAGGCTGAGGCAAAAGGATCGCTTGAGCCCAGGAGTTTGAGGTTGCTGTGAGCTAAGGCTGACGCCGGGGCACTCTAGCCCAGGCAACAAAATGAGACTCTGTCTCAACAAACAAAAAACCTTTAAGACTTTTTATCTAGGTTAATTTTCACTGGGGAAACTGACATTGACAGGGACAGGTACAATTTTGTCTCATTTGTTCAATTTATAACGTATTAGTATCCTTATTATACTGTCCCTTGCCCAGCTCAAAAGACAACTGATAGTAGTAGGAATACTTTGTAGCTTTTGCTAACCATCCATTTGTTTTATATTGCTAAACTTCTGTTTTAGAGAATGCTAAGAAGCACTTTTTTCTTTACTCTTGAATGAATTAAAATTCCCTCTGAAGCTGCTCAGCCAAAGCCAACATTTTTTTCAAACATTACTTTTCAAAGTTGGACTTTTCTAGCACCCTGGGGAGTTGGGGGTTAGTTGGGAGTCCTTTTCCAGGGGGCACCAGAACAGTACAGACCACAAAGTCAAAGTGTGACAACTGCAGTTAAGGAGACCTGATACACTGAAAGAACTTGGGAGGCCCAGAAAACTGGCTTCCTTTGTTCAGATACTTTGGTT